CCTCTACATCACAACTTTTACACTAAAATCTTTATTCCTAAATCTCAACCACCTTCTCTCCATATTGCCTTAAAAGCAGATTAAACTGAATTTCTTTTTTCCTGAAAACTTATTTCAAAGCATTTTTCAAAGTATCATACAGTAGGGAAATCCATGTTATAAATTTTACCATGATAAAATCCATGCAGTATTATAAAATAATGCCCCCAAAGGGCTATAAATAACAATGTCATGTATTTCAGTTTAGTTAGTGTCACTGTGCTTTCTCCTAACTTTTCAGAGTACATATACCCACCGTTTTTAGCCTCCAGCAATTTATTAATGATGTTACTAAGGTCAGCAATTTCAGAGGCTGCAGGTATCGAGAAAGGAACATCATCTACCGCATATCTACAAAAAGGAAACGATAAATCAAGTCTACAGATGTTTTAACAAATGTGCATTTATTCATTCAACAAACATTTATTGGGTATCTAATACATGCCAGACATTTTGCTACATGGGGTTAACAAAAAATGAATTAAACTGTGGTCTCTGTTCTTGGAAAGGGTTAAAGTCTGGTAATCAAATATGAGGAAAGTATGTAAGAACAGTGTCATAAGTAATACATAAAATGGGAGAACAAGGAAGTGGTAGGTCATTTCAACCACAGAAAAGGGGGCTGGGAGAGCAGAGTCTGAAAGGATACATAAAAAACATCACTCTTACACTACATCTAGAAAAGTGAGTTTCTGCCAGGTGAAGTGTGGCGAGGCAGAAAGAAGGGGTGCAGGAAAGCAGGGAGAGCAGCAAAAAAAATAGCTAAGAGTTATTAAAGAGCTGCCGACCCAGCTTATTCCAGAAAGTGTTACTTTACACTAGACAGTGACCAAAGATAAGGCTAAACAGATGTGCATGGAGTAGTTTAGATGCTCTGTGAAGTGCTTTTTACTCCTTTCCCTAGGCAATGGAGGAACCACTGTCTAAGTCAAATAACATCGTCAGAATTTTGTTTAGTTAGATCTTTCTTGGCAGCACTGCAGAGACTGGATTACAGGCACACACAACAGGAGGTAGATTAAGAAACTCTTGTAAGAGAGAATGGGAGAAAATTCTTGCAAATCACGTATCTGACAAGGAACATGTATCTAGAATATATAGAGAACATATATAACTCAATAATAAAGACAACCCTATTTTAAAAACGGGCCAAGGATCGAAATAGACATTTCTCCAGAGATGGTATACAAATGATCAACAGGCACATGAAAAGATGCTGAGCACTGTTAGTCATCAAGGAAATGCAAATCAAACCACAATGAGGTATCACTTCATACCCACTAGGATGGCTACAATAAGAAAGACAGATATTAAGTGTTGGTGAGTATGTGGAGACATTAAACCTTTATCATTGTTGCTAGAAAGGTAAAATGGTATGATTGCTTTGGAAAAATCTGGCAGTTCCTCAAAAAGTTAAACACGGCATTACCACTTGACCCAGCAACTTCATTCTTAAGTATATACCCAAGAGAAATTAACATATATGTTTACACAAAAACTTGTGCACAAATGTTCACACCACCACTATTCCTAATAGCCAAAAGGTGAAAACAACCCAAATGTCCATCAACTGAACAATGGAAACACAATGCAGTATATATATATTGAGCAGTATTATTGAATATTGAATAAATATTGAATATTATTGAGCAGTAAAGAGGAATAAAGTACTGAGATATATATATATATATATATAAAAGCCTTTGCCCCCCCCACTCCCATTGTGGCAAAAAGAGATTTATTACAGCATGTCTTTATGAGCCCTGTTTTATATATATATAGGTATATACATATAAAACAACACAGATGAACCTTGAAAAACATCGTACTAAGTGAAAAAAGCCAGTCACAAAAGACCACGTACTGTATAATCCTATTTATATGAAATGTCCATAACAGACAAATCTATAGAGACAGAAAGTAAATTAGTGATTGCCCTGGGCTGGGGGGATTTGGAAGTATTTGGGTGTGGGGGGAGGGGTAACAGCTAAAGGATGATGAAAAATGTTCTAAAATTTACTGTGGTGATGGTTGCATAATTCTGCAAATACACTCAAAACTAGTGAATTGGACACTTTAAATGTGTGAATTCTATTGCACATGAATTACATCTCAATAAAGTTGTTACAAAAAACAAAAACAAAAAAGTCTTCATAAGGTCTGAATTTAGGCTATATTTGTGGGGAATGTAAAAGTTTCAGAAGATGTTAAGGTAGAACTTCCAGGGCTCACCAAGACATGCTATAAGTCTCTTTTTGTCACGATGGGAGAGGGGGGTGGAGGTTTCAGATCTTGCTAAAATGTAGATTCTAAATCAACAAGTCTGAGGTACAGTCTGAGATTCTGCTTTTTCTAACCAGCTCCCAAGTGATGCTAATGCTGCTGGTCTGCAAACTACACTTTGAGTAGTAAGGCTATAGTTATATATTTATCATGCTGAAAAAAGTAAAAAGTTATTTAGGGGCTTCCCTGTTGGCACAGTGGTTGAAAGTCCGCCTGCCGATGCAGGGGACACGGGTTCGTGCCCCGGTCCGGGAAGATCCCACCTGCCGCGGAGCGGCTGGGCCCGTGAGCCATGGCCGCTGAGCCTGCGCGTCCGGAGCCTGTGCTCCGCAACGGGAGAGGCCACAACAGTGAGGCCCACGTATCGCAAAAAAAAAAAAGTTATTTAGGTTCTCCAAAAGGTAACAAAGCCTAGAAATTGAAAGTTTTGGTCTACTATGATATTTTGGCCAGTAAGATGAGTAGGGAAAAGTAGCATAATTACACACTCATATATGAAGATACATGCATATGTAAATTATATACATATACATGAATTAATCTACTTTCCCCCCTCATTTTACTGATGAGAACGTATTGCGCGAAAGGAAGAAGCGAGAAGTTTAATTTCTAGGTTTTGTTACCTTTTTGGAAAACCTAAATATATAAACACAAACACACATACACACATATGTTTATCCATTTATCACAGGAGTTAAAATACAGTTCTCTAATATTTCTTAAAACTTCATGTGAATCAACAATAATCTCCATAAAACTTTTAATTAGAAAAAATACAGTGATCATGCTATTCCATCACCATATTCCTTTAGAAGCATTTCGACTAAGTATATATACTCATCTGTATTGATAATACAATTTAAATGTACTGTAAGCAACAATACAAGAGGAGTGAATATAATGTACCAGGTCAACACATAAAGCTAAACACAGAATCAAAAATATAATCTTAATTGAGGTGGAAGTTTTCTAGTTTATAGCTGACATTAGCTTGTTAATACAACAAATATTTATTATTTATCATCAGTTCCAGAAGAACTTGACAAACGTGTTGACTCAGTCAATCCAAGAAGCATAACATAGTCTCTACAATCAAGAGACTTACAATATAGTTGAAGAGACCAGGCGAAACAAAAAAAAGGTTAATTAATAGTGTAATATACGCCACAAAGCAGAATATAATTAGGTTTCAAATGATTGCTACATACCTAGGGACCATTTGTAAAATTGGTAAAATGTTTACATACATATAGGTATACGCATACAGGTGTATATATATATATATATATACACACGTATACGTGTAGATTTATGTATATAAATACACAAATCTGTAACTGAATTGAGTTCACACTCATCAAAAACCAGTTCTGCCAACTCCCTATTGAGAGCTCCACCTTCTAGCCTGGTTTAGAAAAGCATCGTCTATCACCTACGTAGGAAAATAAAGTTGTGTTTTCAGACACTGTGAAACACCACTCAGCAGACAGCCTATAACGACTTGGTCCGTTGTTCACTGTTCAATTACATAATGCACTTCATTCAGGAAGCAAACCTGAAGCCCTTCAGGTCCCTCTACACTCACAGTTCAAATTATATACAGCCTGAATCTAGGCAAGAAGGCTCGGTGATCCTTGAGAAATCCTCGCAAGGTACCGCTTCCGTTTGAGCGAAAACTCGCTCAAGCGAGGAATCCAGCCAAAAAAAGGGAAAAAGTGAATTGATGGCAAAGATAACCAGGGATGCACAAGGTCATACCGCAGTGGTCTTTTGAAAGGATCCCGGAGCTGGGGGGCGGGAGGCGGGAGGGGGGAGGAGAGGAGGGGAGAGAAAGGGAGTACGCTTACTTACTTCTTGTTGTCAGTGAAGAAACGTGTCTGGAGCTGAGCCATGGCTTGCCTACAGAAACGTATCGGTAACAGACAACCGGCGCTTTGGCCTCTCAGGACTGCAAAAAGAGGTAGCTCAAAGTTAGACTGCACGTGTCAGAGAAAAGCAGCAGTCGAACACTGGGCTTCCGCTTTCTTTCCTCGGGCCTCCTCAGCCAGGAGGCACCACGAGGCTTCTCTTCCACAAGGCCCAGCCCACAAACATCAACTACCTATTCCTAGATTTAGGAGTCATCGATTAGAAGCATAGTCTTAAAGGCGGCGCGTCCCTCTAATCTTTCTGTATTTTTTAAAAATATATTTAAGCTTACAATCGATTGTGAAGATACAGAGAGGCCCGATTCAAATAGGCTTCTCCTCTCTCTCTCTTTTTAAATTTTAACAGGTTATCCTCAGTCCCGATAATTCAAACACAGCTCCTAGATACTACAACCCCCAGAAAGCAGCGCTTCTCACACACTGTAACCACTGGGTACTGTTAGTCTTTTTTCCCACGCTACCCTTAGGCTATCTTATTTGCATTAAACCTTCCCGACTCCAGCCAACTTATCTATTATATTTCCTCTGCCTTCAGCTTTAATTCACTAAAGCCTTTCCGGGCTTACTTTTTCAAGCATACTCCCAATCAGACTCTCAGTCTACCGAGATTTTTCTTCAGCTCTCGACACTAGCTTCAGGCTTTAGATCCAGGTGAGAGGCGGGGATACGAAAAAAAGAACGAATCAGAAGGGAAACAAGCGACGGTGGCTGATAGTGGTCTTATCTCAAGCGACTGCGCTACGCGCTCCCGGAGGGGCGCGCCTGCGCACTGTGCTGGTCTCCATGGCGGGGCCTCGGAGCCAAGACGAGGTTGAGTAGACTCGTTTTGAATTTTCTCCCCTCTGCTCCAGCACTTTGTGGACTTCCCTTCTCGTCCTGTAGGGTGCTCGGCGGCGGCGGCGGGACTGGGGGGGGTCGGAGGTTTGGCAGAGCTGTCCGCGCCGACGGACGGGACTCTGCTTCCCAATTCCCCTTTCTTCCTGCTGCCTCCTCCTCCCGTCACCTCCTGACCCGCCTGGTCCCTGAGCAACCGCCGGCCCCCGCCCCTTGCCGCTGCCGGGCTTTGGTGGCGCCTTTCGCGCCCCGCCTCGGGCCGTATTCGGGGCTCCTCCTGACGAGGCCTACCGTCCCCCGCCTGGACAGGGTCCGCGGGCCCCGAGCCGGTAGGCTGGAGAAGGTGGAGGTTAGGTGTCTTAAGGAGGGCTGCTGAGCACAAGGGCGCACTACCACGGAGGAGGACTCGGACCCCCTGGCCAGGAGCGCCCGTTGTGTGGTCCTATGCGCCGCCCCGCATTTTAGGGTTCCTTTTTTCTCTTTATGAGCCCCTTTATACCTTCCTTTTAGAAGGGGAAAGGCGTCCTCCCACACCTTCTCCCAACGCTTTTTGACTTTTTTTTTTTTTTCATCTTGAAGTTACCCAAAGGCCTATGTCTTATTCTCAAAAGGTCCCGAGAATAATTCTAATGGAATTTAGTTGTTTTTCGGAGGGAGGATGGTTGGAGAGATACTACTCAGCTCTCCTAGTCGCTTTTTAAGGCGTTCGCCAGAAATCTTTCAAGAGGGGGACTTCTTAAAGAGACGGCAGTTTAGAGTAAGGCAGAACTGGATTGCAGAATTTGGGGCAAAGCGGTATGTGTGCAGGTGAAGACAGCTAAAGCTTTCCTTTGTTACGTTGCTTCAAGACAGTTGCTTCAACTGTCTACAACAGTTAAGTAGACATATATTTAGGTCAACCATAGATTATGAGAAGGGATTTAAACAATTGTAAACGTAAAATAATCTGTTAATAGTGCGCAGTGACAATGAAACTAAGACTATTTTCAATTTATTCACCTTCTTAGAATGCAGGCCGTGGAACCCGAATGCCTGGGTTCGAATCCTGCCTCAGCTGCTTATTAGCCTCTCTGTACGTCATACCTTGGTCAACTGTGAGATTAAGTGCCACATAGTAGATGTTAACTGTTTTTACCATCGTTATCCTTTAGATGTCAGTTTAACTGGGAGCTATGGCAACATGAACAAGTAAGAAAGACTAGCTTAATGGTTAGAGGAGTGAAAAGAAAACCTCTGTGCTGAGGGCCTAGGAAAGGATTCGGCTTGCAAATAGAAGCCATGGTTATTTAACCATGTGATTCATTGTAATTGTGAGAATTGTATGCATAAGTTAGACCACCTGAAGTTTGAAACACTTTTTTTTTCTTTCTTAATTGAAGTCTTGTTATTTAATCCATATTTTTTGAATTTGGTAGAAGTAAAAAGAAATTTGACAGTTTCAAACATCATTTGCTTTTAATCATAAGTAATTTTTGAGTTACAGCAGTAAAATTGTCTGAATTAAAATTCATAGAACCTGAAATAAAACTTCTAATAGGTTCTTCAGGTAATTTTTAATTGTTAATATATCATTGGTTAAAATATATTTTTAAATGTGTAATCAGTAGATTAATTCATTTTTAAGTATCACTAATTTGAAATTTATCAAAATAAGAAAATACTGTACCTGATATTCAATACAGGTTGATCCTAATTCGAATGGAAAAATTTTCTGTGATCAGTAAGATACAGAACTTAAATATGTGCTTAATAAGAGAAAACTTCAATTTACAAAGCAGAAATGTTGAATTCACTAAAATACTCTTTTCATTTGACTGAGACCTTTAGTTAAGGGAAAATTAGTTAACAAGCATTCCAAGATACCTGAACACCTAGTATGATGGCTTTGGTGTTTTTTCAACAGTGGCTTATGTGTTGTATTTCGTGTTCCCTCTATGTAATACCTAAGAGTAATTAGTATTTTTACTCTGAGTGTTTTTCTTAACTTTGCTTAGAACATTAACTTCAAGCTTTTGGTTCTAATGATTTCCTACATGACTCATTTACTAGGTTTCTTACGAAGACGCATTATCTGGAGAACTACAGCTTGGAAAATGTTTCTCTTTATTATAGGTTTTTTTTTTTCTGTATGTAATGGCATGGTGTAGTATGATATAAAGACTGTGCGTGGGCTTTGGAGTCCTAATTGATTTTGGTGATTTTTTCCTACTTAGTTTTGAATCTGAGCTCTAATGTTCTATGATCTTAACCAAGTTACTTGACAGCTTTGGTTTTCTTATCTATAAATAGATAATAAGCTCTACCTTAGAGTCATTGTGAGGATTAAATGAAATAATTTGTAAATCCCTCAAAGAGCAAAGAGGTAAAAAGAGGTATGTATGTACAGGGTAAGAAATGGGTAGAAACCAAGATTACAGGGAGGTTTATCGAGAGGGCAAACCTTAGATAAAGGAAAAGAGACATTGTGAACACTAGCTTTAAATTTTTTTCACTGAAAAATGAAAAGTTTAAGTAGATTGTTTATATATATTTGCATACATTTAACATTTTGATGTTGATTTAACTAACACAATACAACTTGCAAAACCCATCTTTTAAGAAATAAATTACTCTATAAAATATTTGTGAATTAGGAGTCTTGATTTAATTTTTGACACCACTGATTCATAGCAATTTTGTATACATCATAGAAGGAACATTGTGTTGTTTACCTACCCTAAAAGATGAGGGAAATTTTATTTTCTAAAGTACTTTTGAGCAGTATTTTTTAATGTAGTTAATAAGGTCAGACACTGATTTTAAATATAAGATTTCAATATCCTTTAAATCTTGAGACATTAACCGAAGTGCCTAGAATTAAGAGAAACTCTAAACTTCAAGTGGCTTCATCCTTCAGTTAGCCTGTTTGGAGATTTACTCTTAGATTATTGGTTTTAACAGATAAATTTTACCACACAAAAGTCTATCGGGAAAACTAAAAAAAAAAAAAAAAATCAAATATTAAGACTTTTAAAGAAATTACAGCTGAGAATTACCTTTAATGTTTTGAACAAATAGATTTGCTGTTGAACAAAATCAAAAAACAGCAGTAGCCCCAACTTGGTCTACAGAGATTTGAGTAACTACAGCCTGACTAGTGTGTTCCCCTCTGCCATGTATTCAATATGTATAAACAATAAAAGCCCTTTTTTGCTATAAATTAAAACATTAAACTTCTAATTCTTCCTAATCTTTGCTTTTGGTATAAGGTAAAATCCACTTTTTAAAATGTGATGTGAAACATTCTAGAAAGCAGTTTGCCAGCAAAATTTAATGGCCTTAGTGTGTTTTCTGAACTCCAATTATTACTAACCCTCTAGGTTATATATTTAATGCTTTCTCTTTTCTTTCTGTTCTCTTTATCCAATCCCGATACTACTTAAGAAATAAGCTTATCAATTTAATTCTACGATTTTATAGGGGATGGGATATGAGGAGGGAAGCCCTTATTGTCAAGCTTCTATGGCTCCAAAATATGTTCAATTAGTAAATATTTTCATTGTGGAGAAAAATGCAATTTACTGTGGACGTTTTTGTTTCTGTAGTAGTTACAGAATGTGAGAGTTGAAACAAGGCCTTAGTCCAAATCCCCAACACAGGTTAAGTCACCAACCCCTGGACACATGCAGTCTTCCATAAAGACTGTCCTAGTCTTTATTTCACTTCAACCGAGTCAATTGCTGGGTAAACTATACCAGGCTGGTAATGGCTATTTTATAGTAAAACCTGCAGAACAAAATCTAGTAGCTTGCTTTATGTGTTGGAAAATAAATATACATTGAATACCTTCTCATTACAGAAAAAATGCTGGTGTGAAGACATAATTATAGCTTTCAGGTAACTGAAGCCCCAACCATCATGATTTAGTGCCCCCAAAAGGAAGAACTTCAGTGGAAAAGAGAGGGCATTTCTGGGGATAGTAGAATGCTTGAGACCTGAATTTAAACTCAAGCTCCTTCATGAAGGTAATAATTTTATTTTTAACTGATAGAAAGTAACGGCTCTATAAAAGTTAACTATTGTCTATTACATATTAATGAAAAAGTCAAGTTACACTTTGTATATAGGTACTTTATTCCATTTATGGTTACCAGTTGGAAAAGAACATTTTATACCTAGTTATTTAATCTTAATATCTACATTCTTTGGAACTTTACTTTGACATAGTTAATTGAAAGTTAGGGATAATTATAGCATGCGCTGACATTGAGGTTAGGTGGGAATATTGGGTATTTTAAGTCACCCTACAGTTGTCAGGATTGAGGAGTATAATGCAAATTGATGAAAGACTTAGGGGAGGAAGGAGTAATACTTTTCACTTCATTCAAATTATTTTTTGAAAAGGATGTCTGTAACTTAAAAATGTACTTTTAATCTCCAATTCAACAATGAGTTAGGTCAACAGATATTGAAACCCACCTTTCCATATAATAAACACGAAAACCTTGTTTAACACATAGTATAGAGGTACTGCATACTGAAAGGAAAATTTTGAGTTTTGAATTTCCAGAAGATAGTAGGAAAGAAGTTCTCTTTCTTCCATTTGCAGATTCCCAGTCTGGGCAAAGTTCTGAAGTAAGTGGTTTATATTTGGCAAGCTTCCTGTGTTATCCCACCCCTTCACTAGTGAACTTCCCCAGGGCATTCATCCTGCCTTCCCTGTTCACTGCAGCATCTACCTCAGGTCTGCAGAATCCCTTTTAGGTGCTCTGAGCCTCAAATGCACCTATTAGAATGGATAGAGGTTGCATTCTAACCTCTAAGTTAAACTTTTCGGGGTAGCTGTTTTTAACTCATCTTAAAGGAAGAAAGCTATATTTATATAAATTTACACAAATTTGATAATGACTGATAATCCCTCCAGAGTTTTTTCTTTTTAAGAAAAAATGCTTGTTAACTCCAATGAAAATTTCATTGATGAAATTTCAGATAGGGTAAGAAAATAAATAAAACGAAAAAAATTTTAGATCAGTAGGGATAATTTGTAATGGAATCAGGGCACCTACCAGGAAACTGAGAGTAAGTTTTTAGAATTTTTTTCCCCTAAGCTATTTTCACTTTTTACCTTTCTGTCCCGAGATCCACTTTTGGATCTGTTTACAGAATATTTTCTCAGGGGCTGTAATTCCTGCATAGTTAGAATGCTAGTTTTTTCGGGAGGTCAGAGATCTTTAGATTGCTTGCAGGAGGGCTTTTGTATGTTAGGTACTGCCTATAATTAAATTTCAACCAGGAAAAGTTGAGAACAAAAATGAACAAAGAATTTCTTTTAGCATCTTTAATTTGTTAACCTACCAAAAAAAAAAAATATATTAAAGCCATGACTAATGAAGGAGGGAGGTTTGTCTGTTACCTTGAAAGAGTTCCCATTGTAATAATAAAGAGTGGGCTTTGGGATCAATGCATGTAGGTTTGAGTTCTTGCTCAGCCACCTAGTATATTTGTAATCTTTGGCTTTACTTAACTGCTTAAATCTTATTTCCTTATGTGTAAATTGGAGCAAGTAACTGAATCACAGGGTTGTTGAAAGGATTAAATAAAATGACATGTATAAAACACTGAGCCTAGTGCTGTACTATGGTAAGTGCTCAATAAATGAAAACCTTATAACCTTAACTGGTGAGCCTCAGTTTCCTTTTCTGTAAAATGTTGTTAATGGGTCCTATATCACAGAATAGCAGAGTGATTGTTAATAATTCTGGCTAATAATTATTAAGTATAATAAGCGTTCAATAAACATTAAATTATTTTGTAGCTATGATAATTAAATTCATAATCTTCATGTATTCTATCATAATAGTGCTTATATTTAAAAATCAAAATAAAGTCTCAAAAATATTTCTAATCTTAATGTCATCATGTTTAGACAGTGAATATTTCAGTGTATTTAATACACTTTAAAAAATTAAGTTGCATTCTTTTTTTTTTAATTTTATTTATTCATTTTTGGCTGCGTTGGGTCTTCATTGCTACACAAGGGCTTTTCTCTAGTTGTGGCGAGCGGGGACTACTCTTCTTTGCAGTGCGTGGGCTTCTTATTGCGGTGGCTTCTCTTGTTGCAGAGCACAGGCTCTAGGCACACGGGCTTCAGTAGTTGTGGCACACGGGCTCAGTAGTTGGGGCTCATGGACTCTAGAGCACAGGCTCAGTAGGTGTGGCACACGGGCTTAGTTGCTCCGTGGCATGTGGGATCTTCCCCGACCAGGGCTCGAACCCATGTCTCCTGCATTGGCAGGCAGATTCTTAACCACTTTGCCACCAGGGAAGCCCTACGTTGCATTCCTGACAGCAATTATTTCAGTTTTAATAAGTCCCTCAGTAGGACTTTATTTTCAATTGGATCTAACTCTGTAAAAGTTTTCTCCTTGAATAGAGTTCTTTTATTTTTATACTCAGTGTACATTAGAGGTCAGTCAATAAATGATAGTTAAATGAATTTTACAAGTCATCAAGATAATCAACTATTAGAAACATAAAATCTAAGAACTGAATGGGATCTTTAAAAAACTAGGAATTGAAGTTCAGGGAAGTTAACACTGTTTTTTTTCATCAAATCTAGACTGACCCTGTGTTCTTTTTCTACTACATTCATCAGATGTGTGAATTTTTAAACTAAACAGTAATATTGAAATAGAACTTGTTAGTCATCTGAAAGTAAAATTTTTTGCAATTTTTCAAAGACAGTATAGAAAAGTATGTTTAGAAGCTTTATACTAAGCCCAGGTAAGTTTTTATTACATCAATGAGATGACTGATATTTAACAGATTTTTGTCCTTAGGAACCAAGTAATTTATTTATAGATAGGTGAATTTTTTATCTTAGTTTGCATAATTATAGGTAGCAGAAATAATTTATTGAGTATTGACCCTGTACTACGAACTGCACCAAGCTCTTTGCACACATTATTTTGTTTAATATAACGACCCTCTGAGGGAGATGCAGTATAATTGCCAATTTGCACATGAGAAAAACTAAAGCTCAGAGTAGTTAACTCATTTGACAAGTAAGTATGAAGCTGAAATTCAAACCCAGAGCATATGACTACAGAACACTGTCTTCAGCTATTTTATACATTTTTACTGACAAAACCCTCTCAGTTTTTGTTTTAAAAGTTAATGAAAAAATAATATATTTCTTGTCCACCCTAACTCCAACATTGTTCAGAGTATGGTAACTTAACCTAAAATTTCAAGATAATTTTGGAGTTCATATACTATGATTTGTTATTGGCTTCAGTTTACAGACACTCTGTTTGCTCTTTTTTTTTTTTTTAACTAAAAGACTATTTTTTTCTGAAAGTTTTAGATTTATAGACAAATTGAGCAGGTAATATAAAGATTTCTTCCTTCCTTTCTTCCATATTCCTTCCCCTACCTTCTCTCCCCTCCATCCTAGCATGCAGTTTTCTCTACTATTAACATTTTGTATTAGTGTGGTCCATTTTCTAAAAGTTAATGAACCAATACTGATACATTATTATGAACAGAAGTCCATAGTTTACACTAAGATTCACTCTTTGTGTTGTACAGGTTTATGGATTAATGTCATGTATTCATCATAACAGTATCATAAAGTATTATCTCATCACCATAAAAATCTCTTGTGCTTTACCTATATGAATTCCCACATCCCCAACCTCTGGCAAGTACTGATCTTGATATTGTGTCTATAGTTTTGCCTTTTCAAGAATGTCATATATTTGGAATCATATAGTATGTAGCTTCTTTCACTTATCAGTATGGATTTAAGGTTTCTTCTTGTCTTTTTGTGCCTTCATAGCCTGTTTCTTTTTTTTTGTTTTTGGCTGCCCCTCACGGCTTGTGGGATCTTAGTTCCCTGACCAGGGTTCAAACCCAGGCCCACAGCAGTGAAAGCACTGAGTCCTAACCACTGGAGCACCAGGGAATTCCCAAGCCTGTTTCTTTTTAATCACTGAATAATAATTCATTGTATGGATATACCACAGTTGTTTTACCCATTCACTCATTGAAGGACATCTTGGTTGCTTTCAAGTTTTGGCAATCGTGAATAAAGCTGCTGTAACTATCCATGCAGTTTTTGTGGAACATAAATTTGCAACTCATTTGGGTAAATACGTAGTAGTACAATTGCTGGATTGTATGGTATGCCTATGGTTAACTTTGTAAGAGACTGTCAAACTGTCTTCCAGAGTGGCTGTATGTATAGTTTTGTATCCCAAGCATCAATCAATGACAGTTCCTGTTGTTCCACATATTTGGCAACATCTAATAGAGGGTTTTTTTTTATATTATCCATTCTAATAGGTGTGTTATGATATCTCAGTGATGATTTAATTTGCAGTTTCCTTATGACATACAATGTTGAGCATCTTTTCATATGTGTAATTGCCATCTGTATATCTTCTTTGCTGCAGTGTATCTTTAGGTCTTTTGACCACTTTTTTTTTTGCTGTATGCGGGCCTCTCACTGTTGCGGCCTCTCCCGTTGCGGAGCACAGGCTTGGACGCGCAGGCTCAGTGGCCATGGCTCACGGGCCTAGCCACTCCGCGGCATGTAGCATCTTCCCGGACCGGGGCACGAACCCGTGTCCCCTGCATTGGCAGGCGGACTCTCAACCACGGCGCCACCAGGGAAGCCCTGACCACTTTTTAAATTAGGTTTTTTTCTTATTCTTGAGTTTTAAGAGTCCTTTGCATATTTTGGATACAAATCCTTCATCAGATACATGTTTTGCAAATATTTTCTCCAAGTTTGTGGCTCTTTTTCCCATACTTTTGATACTGTCTTTTGCAGAGCAGAAGTTTTTAATTTTAATGAAGTCTTGCTTATCAGTAATCTCTTTCATGGATCATGCCTTTGGTATATTATACTTAAAACATCATTACAATATTCATGGTCCTCTAGGTTTTCTCCTATGTTGTCTTCTAGGAGTTTTATAGTTTTGCATCTTATATTTATGTCTATGATCCATTTTGAGTTAAT